ACTGCGGGAGTGGTGCACCCCACCACTCCCACCCAAAATACTGCGGGAGTGGTGCACCCCACCACTCCCACCCAAAATACTGCGGGAGTGGTGCACCCCACCACTCCCACCCGAAAAATTTCCACCGATAAGCGTGTGATGTTGAAGTCTGCTACCGAAACTTTATTGTTGCGCTTCCAACCATTCCAACCCAGCTGATAGTTGCTTGTAGACTGAATCATCGGCGTTCTTTTGTGTCCCACTTTGCCTACCTATTCACTACAGTCAACGATAACTACGCAGTTGATACTGCGTAGTATCAACTGCGCAGTTACGGTTCACTGTTTATAACAGAACTCCTCTTGTGGACAACGCCGTAATTAAGTCATTCAATGTGACGTATTTTAAGTGCGTATGAAGATATTCATGTGCAAAGTATATACTCATGAATGCACATATGTACATAGATATTTATTAATGGTATATATGTGTATGTATGTAGCCACATGTATATTGACATCGTATGTAACTTGTTTACAACAAAATAGCACCTAGGTTAGACATGAAATTCTCAAAATTATAATATAATAAACAAGGGGTAAGTACGAGTGATATTGCAAATGTTGAAGCAAAAATAAATTTATCATTTTATGATTTTTACTTTATTTTGGTTTAATTAATTGTACATCTAGTCCTATTAAGCAAGCACGTATGTACGCATTGGTATTTATTTGCCTTACAATTAAGAGATATCATCATCTTTGATTTCATTGTTGCAAATCGGGTGTGGAACATTCCGGCGTAATATTTCTCCAAATGATCTAATCATTGGCAACGCAGCAAAACTGAGTACGATAATGCACTTTATGCCGCTTTCTTAATTTTCTTCGTGTCATGTCCTCGTGACTGGGTGACTTTTAAACCCTTCTATCCGAAGGATCGTTTTACTAGGTAATACGTCATGGTTCCCGAGATTTTTCGATGACCTTCGTATTTTATGTACTTTGTGATGAGGAATCGCGTGGTGAAACTGGGATTTAAAATGTTTTACTCGCCAAATTTCAAACATAAAACTTAAATCTTTAATTGTCCCGTTATTTCGAAATTTATCGAAGGATCCTGGGAACCAGCGGCAGCAGCAATTGGCCATGGAAGGTATGTATGTGCCCAATCCAGTAGCGTAGCCACGATTAGATATTAGGAGGGGGCTCGGCTTAAAAACATGATTTTATCCACAAGAGTATGGTTTGCGGTCATCCAATTCCTCCGTCCCGCTGAAAATTATGCAGCATGACATGCTATTGTTAACCGTAATATTCCAGGGTAGAAATCGAACTAAAAATGTCTTATATAGATTTCGTCGGACGGACACATTTATTGAAATATGTAGGAATTATAAATTCCACTAGGATAGGTGTTGTCAACAGAAACTTTTTGTCCCAGTTGTATATAGACATATGCGCCTTTACATCGCCTTGAAACGTAAATGGTTACCGGCAGACCTCAAGTGTATTGTTCCAGAGGCCATTAACTTTAGAAAAATATATGGTTCATAAGAATTCTGATGGGCTTTCGGTTGACCTTAGATGCATATGACCACAGAAGGTCAACGCGTAGGTGGAGCGATATTTCTACGGATGTATTGAGAAAAATGATATATCGCTTGACGTGCTGGTGTTAAATTGAAATTGCCGCCAAGGACCCCACCCCAAGAGGTGTGGTTTTTAAATTTTTAATTTGCCGTCGTAATCAGCTTTGTGCGCTGAGACAAATGTTATGTCGCATGAGATACTTGCGTTGGATTGAAATAGTCGACAATGACCACACCCCCAGTGGGTGTGGTTTTGAAATTTTGAACAAGCGGTCGTAATCGGCTTTGTGTGCTGAGAAAAATGATATGTCGCATGAGATACTTGCGTTGGATTGAAATAGCCGACAATGACCACACCCCCAGTGGGTGTGGTTTTGAAATTTTGAACAAGCGGTCGTAATCGGCTTTGTGTGCTGAGAAAAATGATGTGCCGCAAGCCAGGTATTGATAAAACTGTCGCAAAATCGCCAAAAGCCACACCCCCTCTCCCCTACGCCATACACATTAAGGTCATGGTGTACAAGTGGGGCAGACATACAAAATTACCCTCGATTACAATAGTTAATTTCAGAAACAATACTAGGAACCGACTTTATACATTTTTTCCTGTTCGGACCACACCCACAGGGACCCCACTAGAGTGGGGTGTGACCCTCTGACCTATTTTTCGATGACATGACAATGTAAATCAATTACGCAAAGAATCGGCAACTATGCTGTCTTAACTTCAATGTGGAGTTGAATGATTAGTTAGAGATATTAATCTCAGTTTTATACTTTATTACATCAATATATAGGGGGTGTGGCCGAATTAAAAAAATCTGGAAATATATATTTCGCCCAACGGTCCCACGTTTCCAAAACATCCGGAATTTTGAAAATCCATCAACAACTGACGTCAGGACAAATTTGTAAAATTTTACATATACTTAGTTATGGCCAAGTTATACTGACCTTTGACCTCTGTTGGAGGTCAAACCAGCGAAAACCTGGGGTCGGGGGTATGGAGACTTTTGTTCAGCACATCGAAGTCTACAACATATCAAAAATTCAGAAAATTCGACGGCAGGCAGTTTTCCCATAAGAAGGGTGCCTCCTCCTTTACGAGATTACATTTGATTTATTAAAAAAAATTTATTGTCGAACTCAAGTTTAGGGGTTTGCCGTTCCAAGTACGAAATAAGAGCAACAAGTTATTACCAAGTTTAAGTAAACTTAAACGCATCATAAAATTATGCAAGAAATGTTAAACGTAACTGCGTGAAATGAAAAAGGTTGTGATCTTCCACGCAGCTTTGATAAAATGGCCAAATGTAAAACTTTAAACAGTCAGATATAAAATTTTCGACTTTACTAAAGTGGATGATGAAGAATAGGTTAAAGAAAAGATACATCCTGCAAGAAATATGGTACATTTCCGATTATTGGCATGTTTCAGATCCTGCTGTAGATACATTTAGAAATTTATTTAGGCGCCGCCGAAGATATTTGATCACCACGCCGCGGCACGCCGCCACCGCCGCCGACCAATATACATTTTCTCGCCGCCGCCGTGTAAACCTCCGGCGTTGACCTCTGCATCAAAGCTGTTTCATGTTTATTTTCATTCGGTAATGGAGTCTGGGCAGAAAAATAATGAATTATTTATATATGCAAGTTGTAAGGTTCCTGATCGATATTTGCGTAGATATTGATGGCTACAGCATTTTACACGGAATCTGACAATGCTTCTCATTTATTTAGAAGTAACGATTGTGAAGAAAGTCCTTCTAGTGGTATCCCACCAAGTTGAAACCAATCATGAATTTGTCACGATCGGTCGAGTCATACAAAATTTTTATATGACGGAATATACATGGGTTCTGAATGTTAAAAGGCTGGTGAAGGTTTGAATGCTGGTTAGCTTGGTAAACCAGGAATATCTACATATTGATCTACACATCTTATCTCTCACTGATAATGAACGAAGCCTTCACCTTCATTTAGATTCATAATTAGCAGGTTGCTACATTTATAAAAATGTTTAAACTATTTAGATACATACGTATACCTACTTTTAAAATTGATGTATGTATAAATGTTCTTCCACACGAGTGTGGGCCGCTCCAATGATATCGTGCTTAATGTTACACATGTTAAAGGAGAAAGGAGGAGGGTGTACAAATTCGTGATATTTGTGTTACGTAATTTCTGGACGGCCACTTACACATATAAATATTTATTGATTAAACCAATTCGATATGGTTCATTTATTATGCAATCATGTCAGCAAGATTTGTCGGTAATACATACTTTTATTATTTTGACACTTAAATGTACATTAAATCCGCTACAGATTATTATGCTGGGAATTAATGTAAAGGCATTTGCTTGTAAAAAAATTTCTCTTTTATATTATGTATTGAACAATTACATACACCGTTTTTTTATTAGTCTTGTTAAGATGTTTAGACGGACACTTTCGAATTTTGAATTAGCAACCAATCCACTTTTATTGGTGTAATAAAGGTCGCATTTTTCCCATGATTTCTGGCACCTGCGTTAAATGTAAAACTGGGTAAAGAAAAGAATCATTTTTTTAAGTCACTTGTTTCACAAACCGTGAACCGAATGGGTCCGCCACTCTGAAGCGGTCTAAGTTCAACTGTTTTAGCTACCTAGATAAATAAATTTGAAATAGGTGTGAAAGTCGCATGTATATTTACAACTACTAAAAGTCGTATTACTCACGTGGCCATGCCCAGACAATTTTAGGCTTTGAAATTCCGCACTGTAGAAACTGATGTCTTGAATGTGAGGAAAGAAGTCGTTCTGTGTGAGGCTAACGTCCATAAAGTTGACGCGTTTAATGCCTAAATAAATTACGTATGTATGTAATGGATCATTTTTTCAAACTACACCTCAATTGTCTGGAGTTGTGGAATCGCACCAAAAATGAGTAATCAGATATTTCCATAAAACAGGTCAAGACATAATTTCTTTGCTAACAAGGAAAGGTCCCCGACTGCTTATCGTGACCAGGGTACCCACCATGTTTTTTGGAATCTACTAGGACTCCAGATGAAGGATTCATTCATATTTCCGTGTAAAACTCATATTTGGCGTCGTGCCGTGGCGCCAAATTCGCCAAATTTGAATGTTTTTATTTTTGAAACCGCCATAACTTTTGAAAACCTGGACGGATTTTAAAAATTTTTGGTAAAAATCATGACAAGGAGTTCAACTTTCGTATTCCATGAAGTTCTTCCCAAATTATCGCTTCTAACTTTTCGCAAAATTTCGTAATTTTCTTAAAAACGGGGGTTCGTCGAAAAAATGCTAAAAATATCTCAAAAATCAGAAATTTTTTATTTTTATTTTTTTCTCGAAAATTTCGACTTTTGTGATCATTTTAAGCATAAAATTTTGAAAATCCGATATAAACTGCAAAAGTTATGAGGGTTTGAAATTGGTCGAAAATGCAAATTTTTAAGTTTGGCGCCAAGCCATGGCGCCAAATATGAGTTTTACAGGTAAATATCAATGAATCTTTCATCGGGGGTCCTAGTAGATTCTGAAAAACATTGTGGGTACCCTGGATACGATAAGCAGTCGGGGACCTTCCCTTGTAAGACCAAGCCCTATTTTTACGGAAGACAGAAAACCTCCTTTAAACAGATTTTATAACAATTGAATTAAAACTGGGTTTTCTAAAAATCCAGATTGGTAAACTGTACTGTTCACAGACTTACCCTTCAACAGCGACATGTTCTTCAGGATTTCAACTACCACCGCCGATTTGTTCACTTCTTCCAAGTCAAAGTTTACATGCTCCAGGTCCCAAATTTGGAACGGCTCCATCATTCGCTTAACTGCGTAGCTTGAACTCATACTTAAGGAAGGTATTTTTAAGTCGAATTTCTTAACGGCGGGAAATAACTGGACGATACTATCCGTAAATCCGCCCCACTGCATATCCCCATTATGTTGCAGCACCACAGAAAGAGATTCGACACCTCGGTGTCGCTGCCACATTTTTAGATGGTTTGCCAATGCCATCGGGCTGTTCCAAGGTTATGAACCGCAAGATCTTCAAAGCTGGGAGATGAATCTCGTTAAAGAAGTCAGGGGTGGGGCGCTCCTCAAATGGGTAGATGGTGAGTGAAATCAGTTTCAACATGACAGGAACATTCATCTTTTGTCTCTGAATTCAATGCAAAGATAAAGATTGGGATAAGTTAACAGTCATGTGACATCCTATTTATGTAGGGGCGAAATTTTACGACTTCCAAAAATCAGAAGCAACTCCGGAACAATGGAACCGAACGAACTAGAACTTTTAAATTGTTGCAGGATGTCGGAGGCGAAAGGTCTGGAAGCACATTTTGGTCGGAAACGTAGACGCTGGAAGCGAAGGTTCTGGGCGAAACCAGACGCCGGTGGCCGAAGAACATGGAAGCTGCGCATCTTAGCCTACGCATTTACCATACCTGCGCACAAATCGCTGATTTCATACATAATGACGGTAGATAAACTATTCAGCCATGATTCAATTAATTGAAGAATAATGAGATAATAATTTCGTCACCATTTTTAAATTACGAAGATTGAACAAATACTTTTTAACTTCACTTTCTCGGAAAACAAATGCAAAATTAAAGTTTTACCTGCAGCGAATTACACAAATTACTGTTGTAGATTAACTCCGCCTCTGCCAATGTATCTTTAACTTGTCCCAACAGTGCGATCACGTCATTAATAGTTTTGGTGAAGTCGGAATTGATGACGTAGAATTTAAGCGACTTGAGCTTTATGCACCTCTCCAAATTCAGTAAGGAGGAACCCCAGACGTCCAAAAAGGTCAAATTTGGTGCGGAATCAATCAATCCTTGAACAAATGGATGCAGATCGTTGCTACTGTTTAAACCCTTATAAGGACGGTACTTAATTGAAGTCAGATTAGGGTGAACTGGGATTTTTTGAGGTACACATTCATCTGCAGGGTTGTTAACGTCCTCCATAATGAGACAGACGTGTCGGATATCATTGGATTGCAGCATGCGTAACCCTTTCGTGATGATGTCGATAGCCTTGTGTCTTTGGGCGAGTAAGTCGAACTCATCGTAAATTTTTAGGCTTCGAGTCAGTTTATAGCAGACGAGCTGAGTCACCAGGTATAAATTGGACCCAGAATTGTAATCGAAAAGTTGGTTGACATCAAAGAATGTTCGCTTTCCTAATAAAGTGGCGCCATGATCGTCCCAGCAATGGCTGACTAGGCGGCACGACTTCAAATCAGGTATACAAAGATGGTGAAAGATATTGTCGAGAATCTGGTAAAAATTGAGAATTATTAGATCAAAATGACGAATTAAGTATAAATGGAGGCAGAATTTATTGCGACTGACCAATGGATTCATCAAGGCTTTCGACATTGCGCTCGTTGTTGCGACTATACTGTCATTGCACGTTGAAACTAAACACGTGAAGTAAATACGCCGATATGAAGATGGGGGTATGCACAATAAATTGTTTTGCCATCCACAGCACATTTTTTTGGGGTCGCTTACTATAATCTGCAGAAACCATTGCAACTCGTGTTGAAGGCCAAGGCAAGTCCATACTGCATGCTTCCCGCTAATAGTAGAACAAGACAAATATATTAGCTTGTCTTTGGCCTCGATTCACATCGTTTGGTGGTATCTGACCAACGGATACACAGAGCGGCATTATTACAACTAAATGCAACTTACTCGAACTTGTATGTATTTTGGGAGGAGGGTTCCTCTTGTTGGAGGAGCCCAATGCTCAGATCATCCATCAGATCTATTGCATATCCTCTTACTTACACCGTATGACAGTGGCTATCTAGTTGCTCAGGTATAATCCCCATATCTATTGATGAGATATGGGGATCGAGAAACCATTTAAGGATAGTAAGACAGGAAGAGACGCCGGCTTGCCGTAAGCACCACCACTCACCCCTGCACTTACGGGGCCAGTCCCACTCCGCCTATCCTCTACCCACCACTGCCTATTCAATCTTAATGTATGCCCCTTTGGACGCGAATACTGCCACGGAAAGGCAGCATGCTCAGTCCACTCTACTGAGTGTCCAGCTACAATGTGTGTAACTGGCACCCAGGGAGGGCTGCCCCAGCTGCCAAGATATGAGGGATCGAACCATAGACCTTCCGAGTGCCGAAAGCCACCGGTTCTCACCCCCAAGCCAAACAGCCAGGGCTACTCGAACTTCAAAGTTATTCCAAATAAACCGAACTTGATGATTTAACTTGTTGTGCGTATTAAAACGATTTGTCAGCGTTTAAAACAACTGTTTAATTTTAGCAAAACTTTTCTTCTATTGAAGTTTAACAAAGGTAATTTATCGTTGCACGGGTATTAAAAACTCGTATTTTGATGGAAACTGCTTACGTTCTTGATTTTATGTTTTTAAACATATGAGCTGGCAACAGGAAAAAGAGGATCAAACATAAGCTCTAGAATTATGTTCTGATAACGACAAAGCTTAACCGATTTGCGTCAGCCGATTTCACAGCTTATATAAACATTTTGGTTGCTACATATGTAGTGTTGAGAAATACTGGATTCGATTATTAGAATATTCACCTTGCAAATATTGGTAGGCTATGGTTATCGCAGCTTATCTTTCAGTGATAACAAATGAAGCGCAGACTATGTATATTGTACTATGTATGCCTTCATATCAGGTCATTTTAAGCCTTAATTACATAGATATGTGCGAAAAAATTGTACGTTGAAATATATTGGTAATGATTTTACAAATATATCCATGGTTTTTTTGTAATTCTTCAAAAAATCACGATGAAAAGCCATCAAGCATCAATCATAAATTCATTGAAGGGGGAGGGGGCAGCAACCGTCATACAGATTTCGCACTGGTTTTGTAAAATCGAAAAATTTCACGGGTTTACGTTATCAAAAAATTAAATATGTATTTATTTACATTAAAGTACATCATATTGTCATCTTAACAAGTACGTGTCATTTTTTGCCAGTTTTGGAAACATTATTCCAACTACCTCCCTGTTAGCGATTGAGTCAGGTGTGGGTAACCAGGCTCCCTAACTTAACTGGTAATAATGCGTTGTCCACCACCGCGACGAGTTTTTCCCACCATGCGAATCAACGTCGACGAAATGTTAAAAATTAAAACACATTACAAATATAAAAACAATTACCCTAAAATAAAGTTTTAAATTTTGAACCTGAAATTTTTCCGGTTTTTTCAAATTTAAGAAGTTGATCTGATGTAATTTGGTTTATTTTTGGATGCCGTGATGTGTGCACCAATTGGTGGCCTTTTGCACACGCACCACGGCATCCAAAAATAAACAAAATGGCATCAGGTAAACTTCTTAAATTAAAAAAAAACCGGAAAAATTTCAGGTTCAAAATTTAAAACTTTATTTTAGGGTAATTGTTTTTATATTTCTAATGTGTTTTAATTTTTAACATTTCGTCGACGTTGATTCGCATGGTGGGAAAAACTCGTCGCGGTGGTGGACAATGCATTATTATCAATTGAGTTAGGGAGCCTGTGGGTAACTGGTGTAGCTAGGGGTCAGCCATATATTGCGTATCAAGAATTCCCGATTTCAGCACCGACCCAACGAATGTATGCATTAAGGGACAGGGTATTTCAACAAGGGGAAGATAGGAGAACTGAAACCACCCAATCTCTAAAATGATGTAGTATATGTACGTTCCATTCCACGATTTATATTAAGAATGACATCGTAACCCTTCTTCTTTTGCTACATACTCGTGAGGAGGCAATTCTGACGTCTAAATTTATCCAAAAAGGGTCAACCACCTCGAAATTTATCCAACTTTCCCTAAATAAACTTCACTTAAAAGGTTTGTCACCCTGAATAGTTTACATGCCAAAAGGGTGACATTATTCTTAAGAATGTCCCCTTGAACGTTTAACATTTTGTTAGTTGCAACGCACATTATTGCAGCACATCATTTGGAGAAGTATGCATACATACATACATTTTTGACTTACTTTATTTTTGTATTTTGCAACGTTCAAACAATTTTCAAAATAATTTATTCCTGAGATACATACTGCAAATATCAGGCTCACAAAATATAGCTTAGGCGTCATTTCACCAGATATAAATATTATTAAAAATCGTGACTTCTTGGAAATGGAAATTACCAACGACACTTGGACGATACCGCATTTTGCCGTTATTCTCCCCGAGGTAAGTGACACAACTTGCAATCTCATTGAACAAAGTATAATTCTTATATATTTATTTATTTTAATATCAATCTCTATGTTGCAAACTTAGAAATACGATTGCGAATGCTTTTAATAGAGCAGATTGCTACTTTATTAATAATAAGTTGTATTATACTATTTTATATAAACAAATGATAAATACAGTAATGATGAGTAAGACTATCGAAGGTAACTTAAATTTACACATTAATTCATTACCGTAAGCAGGAGCAGGATGTCATGCTTCGACAGTTTACAAGCCACTACTGGAAAATATATCACATTAACTAATTAGATATTTTATTACACTCAATTAGACTGACGACTTATATAATCATATTTTCCCCAGATTTTGACCAAAGTGATGACCTTTCTTTCCACGCCTGACCTCATCACATGCACCCTGATTAACACGGATTTTGAAATTGAAGCCAGGAAACGTCTCCTAGCTCAAAAATGGGTTAGGTTCCCCGCTAAAAAGTTACCCCTCTCCCCTCAAAGTGAAACCACCCCCTACAACATTACCCACTTCGCGGGTTACAACCCCAGAAATTTGCTCATCCAAAACTTCAAATTTTCCTGCCCGTCTATCTTGACCAATTTCCTTTCGAGCCATGCCCACCACGTGGTCAATTTAAAGATCCTGTTACCCCTGCGAGATCCCAAATGGCGCCAATATTTGGAATACCTCTCAACCTTCCTCCCTAACCTGGTCAGCCTGCAGATACAAGTTATCACATTAGGGGGGCTTAATTGCCCCGATTTTATCCCGCCTTCCCATAAACCACGGGTCTTCTGGAAGGTTCGTAAACTCGGACTGACCTCATCCACGTGGGCCCAGTCGGGTAAATTAGTGGATATTTTGCCCCTTTTCCCGAACCTGGCCAGCTTATCGTCCGACGGAATAGATCCCGCCGTCCTGGAAAAATTTCTGCACAGGGGCCCTTCTACCCAGGTCGGGCCTCGGGTGACTATGACCCGGTTAGAATTAAGTGACCCGAGTTTTGACCTCGGCCATTTTTCCGTCATTCTGAACATCGTCGCGGGCACGTTGGAAAGTGTCAAGTTTTTCGGAATGGACAACTGCCCGCCTCACTGGCTAATGAATGAAACCGGCGTAGCGTTTCCCACCATGCCGCGCTTAAAGGTTTTCGCCGTCCGACTGAGTCCAAATTCCTTTAGAATGATAACTTCCGGCTGTTCAGTTGTGATGCCGAGACTGAGGTTGAGATTTGGGAGGCAAGCTGGTAAGATCATACATACCTGTTTACATTCATTTATTTAATAGAGCAAAATTATTAAGTACTTATTTACTCAAAAAAGTCATGAGTAATGAGTAAATATGTTTTTCCAAAATTTATGGACGAAGTAATGTTAAATAACTGTTTATTCGTTTCATACTCGTAACGAACGAATGAATAATTTTATTCATTTTTCACTCTATGTATTGAAAAATTCATCGAATAAGACGAATTTGGGATAAAACGAATAAAAAATTAATGACGAATTATCAGCTTATAAAATTTTGAATAATGAATGAATAATTTTTCTCCAATTTTTAAACTGGACGAACTCTGAATGAAGAAATATTTTCTGAACAGGTATGCTGGTTTATCCGGATCAGTTCCCCGTCTTGGAGAAAATTGTTATTTCCAGGGATGAAATAACCCAGCCCTGTACCCAGGAGGAAATATTAACCCGTCAGGAGTGTTTTGAGACGAGCGCGGCATTTTTGTACAATTCCTTCCTTCGTGCGGGCAATTCGAGGGGGGTAACAGTGACAAATTTGGACATTCCGTTCCCACCGGGGGATACGTTTAGGGTGATTGGGCAGATGGGAGAGGCCTGCGCGGCAGGGTGGCCGGTTGACTGTGGGTGTGGCGAAGTGAGGAATATGTCCGAATTTTGGGACAGGGTGACCGCCATTTTACCAAATTTGACGAGATACCAGATCATGGGGGAGATTTAGGAATTTGCGACGGAAGCAGGGGGATATCTTCCCCAGAAATTTATTAAAATTCTATCTTGCCCGTGTTAATAAGACCCTCATTCTCTAATCCCCACAATGCTAACGTTCCCTAAACTTCTACCGCGAATGTAATAGTTTAAAATGGAATAGTTTGAAGACATAATTACACATATATTTTTTTAATCTAGCCGAATTTAGAAAACCATTTCCACTCACGTAGCGTATTTTTTACCCGATACTTAAATGACTTATAAATTAGCTAGTTACTAAATTTTGACTCTACGTAGTACATATCAAGTTGATCTTATCAACATACTTATGTTTCTATTACATCGCCAACCTATTTATTTGTTTAAACTCATTTAAAGTTTAAACCAAATTCGCGTCGAATTTATTTTAATTTGTGGGCGACACATCGTTTTAGCAATATTAAGTACATATTAGTTTATGATTTGTTACTCAATATAAAACTATAAAAAAATAAGGCTTAGTAACTGATATTTATTTTGTGTCCTGGTAGATTTTCTGCTCTTCATCAAACAACACGGTATTATATGTATATGAATCTATGTGCACTTAACTTTTTCAAGAGTTGAAATATATTGTTAGATATATGTTGAAATTGTGTTCAGTAACACAAAATCTAACAACACAGATTCTGACTTTAGTGACTTTTAGTAACTTTTATGCATGAAACTGTTTGTCATCGTTTATGTAAAACCTTAATTTTCAACATAAAACTAAATTCGTTGTGCAGAAACCTTGGGTCCGGCCTTATTCTTTCAACGAAGAGCGAGGTTACAGGAAACCTTAGACATTGTACTACCTCAAATAAATCGTGCTGTTAATGGGGCGGGGGGGGGGTGCATAAAGGATGAAACTTAGTTTTTCCTACGTTGATTAATATCAATTGTCCCCGTTTAAAACAATAGTATACAAATATATAATTGTATTGAACACGTTTTCGGCCCCTACAAAAAATCAATGACACCAGGTCTGCATGCCCCCAGGATTAGGTAGAGAACATTCAGATTAAAAAGTTTTGTTGAATATTAGTGGTATTTTTTTCACTGCTAAGTATTTTGAGCCCAGTCTTCCCGTTAAACTCCTCGGAAACTGAGTTGTCTTAAAATTTTACACGATTTTTTTTTCTAACCAGGAAAATGCATTTAAAAAATGCAATTTGGATTCTGTGTCTCTGGAAAATCTAAAGTAAACTTTCCTCAATGGCAAACTAATGGTACTCTGGATTTTCCTGTAACTTACTTATTTAATATTGAATTCAGGGGCTGCCATTTACCAGATTTTCTAGACCCCCGTCCATTTTTTAACATGTGTCACATATGCACGATATCATTTTGGCCTGAGACCCCACCACCTACCTGTGCGTTCACATCATTTATGGACCGCCCTGTAGAAATTAATTCACTTTTTAATATTCAGCCTAGTCACGTAGTCCTACATATATATATTCCAATTAAATATAATGGTTTGAAAATATTACATGTTCATTTTAATAAAGCGAAAGATATTGATTTCATCAATAATTTACATAAACTTAAATATTCCTCAGGGTTGCTAGTCAGCAATCACCGAACCATGATAGAAAAGGATTTGAAGTTTGTACCTACATTTAAATATTCCAGTCCATTTCAATCTCCAAGAATATATCGTTGACTTAAAAGATCATATAAATTTTCACATTTTCATGTAGTTTAATACGTACATAATTCCCACAAAATGAAAACCCAACTTTGCATTTGTACTTCGATTCTCCTAATAAGTTTATTCCCTTCTGCCTCCAGCAATTTTGATTTGCAACAAATTGCAAGTTTATTTCCTTCGGGGTCAATTCTAAATATAATAGGCGACTTCAATATAGCACATCAAAAACCATGGGAATACGAGTTGCAAAATTTTTCCTTCAAAACTTCCTCACAGTATTGCGCAACTTCCCATCAAAGCAAAATATCACAGCTAATCGATATTACGGATCTTGCCAAAGGAATGAGTACATCTTTTCTAAATATTTTGGTCACCCAACGACTTTCATTTCGGTCATATTTCTGCCCAAATTGGAGACAAATTCTGATCTGCAGAATTTATTTCTCACGCATTCTACTCTAAATGCATGTGGGGAAAATCCAACCTATATTTTTCTAATTCCAAGCTTGCTCAACAGCACTATGACAGAGGAAATTCCCCTTACACGATCCACATCTAAAATTTTTGTAATCCATGGTGACGACCGTAATGGTAAAGAAATTCTCAAAATTTTTGTAATCTGCCTCCCGTGCAGGGTATTTTCTATGCGTGAAGTAAATCCATTTCCCAGCGACGACTTCCTTGATTCCACATGAAAAAAAAACAGTTTTAACTTATAAGGCTGGCTTGCAGGCTCATTCTATGTTACGGAATTCGATCCCGAAAAACAAACATGCAGCGCGGTTCGTCGAGGCGCCAAAAGATTCGCGAATACTATTTGCCCCATGCTAGTAGTTGGACGCAAATTTAATTTTAGCGTCGCCACTGTACCCGGAGAACGGAATTTTATTCACCCTAAACTGCGTAGTTCTTATTTTAGAGTCTATTACAATATTATGCTTGTAAATAATGATACAATTAGAAGCTTTTTATATCCTGTGGATGCATTCCACTCCTGGTTGCCACATTGTGATCAAAAATATTTATTTAAAATGGCCACGGTATCCTATCAAAAAGCTACGTTGGAAGGATTGAAAGGTCTCGTTATGCCGCTTGACCGCTAAATATGGGCAGCGTCAGGAGCATCTTTCACCCTTATTGCCATTCTTCTTACAAGGTTTGCGTTAAGAAACGGTGCAACTTTAGCAAAAGCAGTTGGATACTTCATCAAGTCCTGGCAATGGATTCTGTCCTCCCTGACGGGCCAGTACCATGGAACTCCTCGTATGTTACGGCTCGTGCCTAGTTTTCCGCTACTAGTTATTATTAGCCTATTCGCCTTCTTTCTCGTGGGGACTGTATTTTATCAAAGCTCCATGTTCTCCTCACTAGTAGCCCTTACCCCACCAAGGCTACCGTCCACCCTGAAATCCGTTGTCGAGTCAAAAATTCAAATTATTACCACCACTATGACTAATGTAAATGACCAATTTTTCGGGTCTGTGCTGAAACATGTAATAATCGATGATGCAATTCAAACTCCTATTAATTTCCCGAACTACCTTACTTTAGGGTTGCCGCGGGTAGCGAAAATGCTACCCGTTACCCGACCCGCTACCCGCAGCCCAGCTGCCCGTACCCGCACGGGTACCCGTTATCCGCTACCCGTTATGAGAATTAGGTTAAAAACTAACCAACCTTCAGAATAAATATGATTTAATCAATTATTTGCTCATTTGGGTTGGCAATTAATTTGAGATAATGCTATGCAAGTAACGAATGCTAGAATTTAGTTGATGTCATTAGATGTTTTAGTGACCAAACTTTAAGCTTACAATGGATCCCTTCTTAAGCTATACGGGAATTTCTTATCGAAGTATAGAATTATCACTTATCTTTCCGTTGGATAGCCCATTTGAAGAAAACTCTTGGGGGCAGAGTTCAAAGTCCACCATGGTTTTCGTCCAGTGGAGGAACAAGATTCAGAACATTTGCTTAAAAATTTAACTTTGCCGCCAATATTTTTCTTCAAAGACTTTGCATCAAAGTGGCCATTCAACGGAAACTATCACGAACACGATTCCTAATTGTTGGCTTGACTGTTTGATAAACTCGCTTGAGAGTCTTCAAGATTGAATCTTTGTGTAGCTTAAAAAGGTTCAATTTAGTTTGATTTTTTGAAATTTTGATTTAAATGAAGTTCCCGTGAAAAAATTGTCCACAAATAAAATTTTTGCTTTCAATCGGATTAAGGTTTTTCACCTTCAAAGTACAAATTAAAGTCTCGCCAGTCTTACCAAAGTACACAAATGCAAGTCAAACTATTACTGATATTTGAAAGCAGGCAGATTATGCTTGAGTAACTATCAGTTCTCCTCATTTTCGGGAGGTGAAAAGCATTTTAGGCTGCCGTAGGCTTCTGTGGCTTCGGGAAAGACACGCTCGCTATAAGTGCTATTGACTGACAAATGGCAAATTTTGAAATGAATAAATAAGAAATCGACGCTTTTGTTGGTTAATGGATAAACTTGCTGCTAACTTTCTTTGTGAACTAATTTATGTCGAAAATTAAATAAAAACTATACTACCCGTTACCCGTGCGGGTAGTCCTCGCTACCCGCAGAAAACGGGTACCCGCAAGAATCGTGCGGGTATGCGGGTAACGGGTACCCGACCCGTAACCCGCGGCAACCCTACCTTACTTTAAACCTTTCTAAGGAAAGGGTAACTTATATCCCTAACTTTTCCTCGTTTGTCACAGGTATTAACATTTCCAAGGGATGGGATCTAAAATTTGAGGATAACTCTGTTCACCGGGTTAATGATATATTCGCAATTGTAAATGACGAACACGATTTAGAGGAAATGCTTGCCGGGCTGGAAGTCAACAGAAATCCATACGTGGCCAGGCATACCGAGTCACAAATATTTTTTGCAAATACTCCACTAATAATTACTCGTGGTTTTATGCTTCCCTTCATATCAAGCACTGCTGGTCAGCTTGCTCAGTCGGGCTTGCATAAATTTTGGCAGGATTTAGAAAGCACTGCGGATCTAGTCATAAATATTAAGGATAAAACATGCAAGTCTCGATGTCGGCTTTTCTGTGTGTGATAGAGGTATGCGCGGTTATACTAAGTGCTGCAGTAGTGAGCTTCATTCGGGAATTTGTGAGCTATCAAATGCTAAAAAGTGTTTGGTTGATATGTAGACGATCTGTGAGTAAGATTATATTATTGATGAAACGGAATATACTGGGAGTGAAATATTTTTCATTCCTTCATATTTAATAAGTGGGAATTGCTATGAAAATAATTCCGAGCATAATTAGCTTATTTACAGAAGGGTTTGGCATTTTGGTGGATACGAATTTGACCTTGAATAACCCCGGAACAGTTTGTCGTAGCGGGTCAAAATTTTGAACAGACGAGCATGTTATCCTCAGATAGTTGTGTGCAAAAATTCAACTCTCCACTTTCAAAAATGCCTCCCCCACAGCCCCCAGAAGTTGAGAGAGTCATTTTAACTTTTTTCAAACTCCGTCTCAAAAATTTGGTCTCCGTAGAAAAAAAATTATTTTCAAGTCTTCGAACCCAAAAAAGTCTATTTGACTTATGTCAGGGCATTTTACAGGTATTTCACTATCCGAAATGATTTTTATCCCCATTCTAGGTTCAAGGTCGTTTGCATTATCTTGAGTCAACGTTGTCGTTTTCGAAGTCGCTGAGTCATTATGAAAAATCACCTTATTTATTTTTTCACCGTGTAATTTAGGAAAATGTTATTCTAAAAGTGATTTCAAAACACGGTCCACATCATACTTTGCAGATACGTTCACTTTTTGGGGGACTTTGATAAGTGGGAGGATACCACGACCGGACATTGCACCCACAACCATAAAATGTTTGAAAAAGTTCTCCTCACTGAAAACCACCAAATTTCTTGAATTTTTTTTCGGCATTTGTCGTGTACTAAGCTCTTCGAACCCAATTAGTAACTTGTAGGGAAAATAGTTCTTCGTCAATTGTCACCAATAACGCACTCTTATTCCTGAACAGAAAATTTAAATAACATTTTTTGCAAACACGGGCGAGATTTTTTCTGGAACAAGTTGAAATGACTGTCTCAGCTTCTGGGGGCTGTGGGGGAGGCATTTTTGAAAGTAGAGAGTTGAATTTTTGCACACAACTATTTGAGGATAACATGCTCGTCTGTTCAAAATTTTGAACCGTTACGACAAACCGTTCCGTGGTTATTCAAGGTCAAATTCCTATCCACCAAAGTGCCAAACCCTGTAATTCGCGTGACGGTGTGATTTTATATTTTGGATGGTTTCTAAATACATATTTCGATTATGTTACAGTATTTTACTGCAAACTTGTAATACGTATTTAATAGTTTATTTACCTAGACACCATAGAATTGGTTATGAATAGATGCTGAATATTATGGTGCAAACTTGTAATGTAAACACATTCCATTTATTAATATTATGTACGAATTATTGTAAATGCATTTGCTCTAAAACAAATTACTGTTTACTATTATGTACTTAATAATTGCACCGTTTCTCATGATTATTCTCGTTCAGAGCTTTAGACGGACGCTTCAAATTTTGATTTTGCAACCAATCAACTTTTATTAGTTTAATAGGGGCCTCATTTTTTTCATGATTTCCGGCACCTGCGTTGGTTGCAAAACTTGGTATAGAAAATACGCATTAAGTTAAGTCACTTGTTTCACATACCGTGAACCGAATGACACCGGCACTCTGGGATGGTGTAAGTTCAACTGTTATAGGTACCTACATACATTTGAAATTGGCATGAAAGTCGCACGTATGTATGTATGACTAGTAAAAGTTATATTACTAACGTAGTCATGCCCAGAGAATTTCAGGCTTTCAAGTCCCGCACTGTACAAAATGATGTCTTGAATGTGAGGAATGAAGTCGTCTTGTGTGAGGTTAGTGCGCTTAAAGTGGACCCGTTTACTTCCTAAATTAATTAGTCTCGCAATGGAACATTTTCTCGGGCAACATAAATAAATATACCGGGATTGTCTGGAGATTTAAATAAAGCATGAAAGCTCGCCAAAAATTGGTTTGTAATCAAATACCATTTATCTTTTCATTGAATGACCTCTGCTGAGAAGAATACAAATTGGACGCTAAATTTTCTATGCTCCCCAGTTTTTTGTCGGGTGGTAAAAAATGGCGGAGAAAATATTTGCAAGAATTAAACTTTGCCCTCAATATTATTCTTAAAAGGGTAATTCAACAGAAAGTCCTGTGAATCTTAATGTTTGGATATAACTCATTAGAAAATCCTGGTGTAGCTTGAAAAAAGGTTCCATTCTGAGCGAATACTTTTACTTACTTTGTATTACTATTAACTTTTACCAGACTTACCCTTCCACGGCAGCAAGCTCTTCAGGATTACAACTATCAACGCCGATTCATCCACACAGTCCACGTCTAAGTTTACCTGCTCCAGGTCCCACACTTGGACTACCGCCAACTGATTTATCCCATTAATAAATCGGTCACAGACGAAAAAAATCTCCAAATCAAATTTCTTAACGGCAGGAAATAATTGGACGATACTTGCCGCAAATTCGCCATGCGCAGTACCCAAATAAAATTCCAGCGCGAGCGATTCAACTCCTCGGTGTCGCTGCCACATGACGAGATGGTTTAGCAATCTCGTCGAACTAACGAACAAATTTCGGAACGCCAAGATCTTCAGCGCTGGGAGATGGATCTCATTAAAAAAGTCAAGCGTGGGGCACTCTTCAAATGGATGAATGGTGAGTGATACAAGTTTCGACATGACAGGAAGACTTCTTTTTTGCATCTGCGATAAGGGCGAAGTACTCATAAATAATTGGGGCACATCAACATTTACATAACGTCCTATTCACATAGGCGCGCTGCTAGCGACTTCATGAAGTCGGTAAAAAAAATTACCTGCCGCCAATAGTGCGAATAATTTTTATATCTTAATTCCACGTTTGTCACGGAATCCTTTACTTGTCCCAAAATTTCGATCATGTCACCAATTGCGTAGATACGGTCATAACTTATGAGGTAGAATTTAAGCGATTTGAGATTTCTGCAGCTCTCCAAATCAGGCAGCGAGGACCCCCAGACGTCCAAGAAGGTTAAATTGGGTGCCGAATCAATCAAACTTTGGAGCACTGGATGCAGGTAGGACCCCTCATAAGGCCCATACTTAATTGTGGTTAAATTAGGGTGGACCGCGAGTTTTTGCGGTTCACATCTATCCTCACAACTTTCATGAGGCCAGCCAGATATGACGACGGAGATGTATTGGATATCTTTGAATTTCAGCATGCCTAACCCTGTCGTGACAACGTCAATTGCTTTGTATCGTCGGGCAAGGGTGTCGAACTCACAGTGGAGTTTGAGGCCTTTGATCAGTTTCTCATTGACGGGATGAATCGTCAGTTGTAAGTTTGATGCACTGTAGTAAAAGAGCTGGTTTACGTCAAGGATTGTCCGCTTTCCTAACAATGTGGCGCCATGATGGGCCCAGGCATGGTTTACGAGGCGGCAGGACTTCAAGTCGGATATGCTGATCAGAGGAAAGATGATATCGAGAATCTGGTGGAAATGGAGAATTATTAGATAAAAATAAACCATTGTAATGTGCCAAATACATATTTAGCTCACCGCGTAATAATGATCAGGATATAATAAAACTTAATAAAGTCAAGTACACAGTTTTCACAGTAAAATCACTAAATTCGCATCTTGAGTTGAACAAGTGGATAAATTAAACACATCGTAAGTAGTTTCGTATCAATTAATACGGAACTTAAATGGAATTAGATTCATTTGATGCCAAAATATGAGTTTGGGATTGACGGACAAGAGGAAGGCGACAGCTGTCAACCAGGGTGAGCCAATAATAAATTTCAAATAGTGACAAACAACTGACGACTTACCAGTGGATTCATCAAAGCTTTCAAAGTTGCACTGGTCGTGGCGTTATCGGCGTCATGGCTGCCTGGAATTACGTAAGCAGATGAACTCCGATTATGCCTTTGAATTTTGATAAATTATTTAGAATGTAGGTAGATTTTTTGTAGTCAGTTACTATAATGTGAAGAAATCTCTCGTGTCGAAGATAACGGCAGGTCCATTCTTTGGCTTCGGACTAATAACGAAATAATTTTTTTATTACGATTTGTGGCCAAAAAAGTAACATTCAGGAGGGGGTGGGTAAAATCGTACCAATTTCAATTATATCGATCACGAGTAATCAGGGCATATGTACCAATCTTATAAATAAGGAATTAAATTCTGAATAATCATTTCAACTGAAATCAGCTCGCCTTCAAATTTTTCACAATAAACCCCGATTTATAAATTTAGCTTGTGTCTGTAACACAGGACTATTTTTTAAACTTTTCAACAATCCTGTTTAAGTTTTACGAAACCTCTCTTTCGTATTCGTCAGAGGAACTTATTGCATATATTCAAAAATCATAATTTAATCCATACCCCGTTCTCCTGTATATACTGACAAAATGACGTAACGACAGGATACGAGGCGCCACAAAATGATTCATAAGCTCTACAATTCAGTGCAGATAAGGATAAAGCTTGACGATTTTGCAGGTTCTATAAACATTTGGTTGGCCAGTGTTGAGATAAATTGGACATGATTAATTGAATATTAATCCTGCAAATAATTCTGCGCCGTAAGAATCGCCACAACGTATCTTTCACTGATAACAAATGAGGCACTGACCAGTTTATCATTTGCCATGATATCAGTTCAGTTTAGGAATCTTTTTGCATTGCCCATATACCCAAATGCTTAAGCTAGAAATGCATTCACACCAATGCATTGGTGTGAATGCATTTCTAGAAATTCACACCTTTATTTCATTGCAATGAAATAAAGGTGTGAATTTCTAATCAAGTGTGGGTGATTGGTCGGCCGTTGGGTATACCTTTGGACCTTGCCGGTTGCATACCTGTACACTTTCATTCATGTGACTGATTATGATAGAGAATGATTGTCAATAGTGGTATTCACAGTAACCGATTATAATCATCAGGACGATTATAATCGCAATCGATTAAAATCATATACCATGAACGCACCAGATTATTGTTGTTTTTTGATTATTTTGCCTAAAATATTCAGCAGGATTCATTACATTTGGAATTACATTTGGATCAAGGATTATAATCCAAATAATCGTCCTTGGAGAGGATTATTTTTTTGACAATTATAATCACATTGGTTTATTTTTTCCCATAGAGAATTTTTGGGTGATTATAATCGCAATAATCGGTTACTGTGAATACCACTAATGAAAATGAATTTCCTGTGATTTCACTGAAAATGAGTGAAAGATTAAGTCATTTCAGATGAATTAAAGGATTTCTCACTCCTTTCATTTTTCACCTTATGCTTAATACATTGGAGAAGTAAGAATCAAGTCAGATGAAGTGAAATGAAATGAGTTTGAAAGAAAATAACTTTTGAATGTGAATGAGAATCTTCAGTCAGAAATTGGGATGACTGAATTTTGAATGAAAAAAGTTTTTTTGAACAGGTATGACCGGTTGTACGTTTTTTCAGGTTTTCTACAAATGCATCACAAATGCATCACATTTTTCATGCATGACATGCGTCACATTTTTCTACAAATGCATGGACTGGGTTACACGATAGCATGCCTTCCTTTATTTTTTGTTTGAAAGCATTCTAAATTCAACCAAAAAAGATCAAATATCACGTCATGCCTTTAACTGAATTCCGTAAAGTTCACTTTTTTAGTAAATGATCCTAAAGCTATATCCATATTAACTTCATGAAGACTAAAGTTTACTCAGGATCTAAGCTAATTTACTCAATGTGGATTTCAGGTGTCAGAAGGGTAATAGTATTTTAAAAGTGTTATTTAAATGTACAACAGTTTTACTTGTAACGTTAGATAGAGTTTATTACTTTATGTATTTTTTTGCTTACTTTATAATTTTGCTTTAAATTTTGTATTTTTTAATCAATTAATTTCATATTTATTATACGTGTGAAGTCCTTGCATAAATTTCCAAGTAAAGTGCATCCCATATGTAAAGTGCAGATGGGAAAATGGCCCTCATTTTGTTGTAATTCAATTGATTTCAAAGAATGATATTTTATGCACAAGCTTAGGAGTTGTGTGCGTTAGTCCTGTCCTTAAACTAATTTCCTATCCAATTGTAACCTGGAGATATTCGGTTCTTCCGAGCTCCGCCAAAGAGTCGTTTTCCCGACTTTGCTTCTATGTTCTTCGCGATTCTGGTCGAAACTTTCGAAACCCACGAATGGTTGCAATCTTTTCTTCTCGATAGGAATATGTTCTTCGACAATTGGCCCATAAATTTTCGACACCACGCGTTTGAGGTACATTTGGAGCGTTGATTGATTTTCTTGTATCTCATCCAATGTATTCCGGGGTCTCCGTAATCAAGATTTTCTTTTGAAATATTACCTTTGGCTTCAGTCTATCTTCGTATTTTGCATCTGCTGGAGTAGTTGTATGAAAATATGTACGATAGGGAACATGATCAGGGTCAATGGTCACTTAGATTTCATCATGAATAACCACTACTTTGCTCGAGCAGTTTTTGTAAATTTTTCCACACGCTGTTTTAGTTCGGTTATGTAGGCAACCAAAATATTTCCTTGCTGATTGCTTCACATACCCTGTCATGCCCAAAGTGTGAAGTTTAATTCGACATATCATTGGAATTGATATCTTTTGTTTTGTGGATGCTGCAGTCATGGAAGTGCGGGACGCTGTTTGGAGAGCTCCTTACTTTTAGCTACATCTAATTTCGTCAATTGGGTAGCCGTCCGACCTGATAATTTTTTGTAATTTGTGCCACCGGCAAGCTAACACCTTGTAATTATAAGGTCAACAACCAATCTGCGTTTTCCTTGCCTGGCGAAGTGGTCAATCGTTTTCTTCCTATCACGCAGAGACGAATTTTCGTGCGAGTGAAAATCGAGCCTTCCGAATGTTTGGATTCCGGCTCGTGTCATTCATAAACAAGATTTTTTGATGAAATCTGTTATAAGGTTTCTTAAACTACATGAAATTACCTAAAAGATGAGTTATCTCTGATCAATTTTTTCCAGCCGGTACCCTTAAAATCAATGGCTGACCGAGCTGCACTTTACATATGGGATGCACTTTATGTTTTTTTGGAAATTTTAAAAACTCAAATCGACACTACCTTTATTTTAAACACAAAACTAATCTCAAACTGCAGAAACCTTGGGTCCGGCCCTATTCCATCAACGGAAAGCGAGGCTAAAGGACAGCTGAAAATTTGGACTACCTGAAAAGGGTCTTTTTGTGAATGGGGGGCGTGCATAAAGGATGAAACTTATATTATCCTACGTTATTAATATCCGTTTAAAATAATAGTAAATACATAATTGTAGTAAAAACGTTTTCACCCCCTTCAAAAAAATAAATGACACCACATCTGCATGCCACCAGAGTTACGTAGAGAACATTCGGATTAGAAAGTTTGGTTGAATATTACTCGGATTTTTTTTCACTTCAGAATATTTCTGAGCTCAGTCTTCCCGTTAACCTTGTCGGTAACAGAGTGGTCTTAAATTTTAACAGGATTTTTTTTTCAAATCAGGATAATGCCTTCAAAAAAGGTAAAATAACAAATACATATTTGTCCGCATGTGATTTAGTGAAATTAAGTATTTACGAAAACGGATTTCTACTGTAAACCATTTACGTTAAGTTTCCACAGAAATTAAACATCGTCCCTTAAAATAATGTGCGCTTTTCACACATAAAGTTAATGCAATTTGGATTATGTATCTCTGCAAAAGCCAGAGTAGACTTTTCTCTGTGGAAAGTCAATGTTACTCTGGATTAATGGAGGTCTCCCAACGTATGCTCACATATTTTGACCAAACTAGCGTCAATCGATTACAAATATAATTAGTGTGAAATTTGCAAATGGAACAATCTGCCTATTCGTAGGTTTGGCGAAGATATTGCATCCAAACCAAGAAAAATGCGCAATAAATTTAGAAAATGTAAAATTTCCCAACCTTGTGGGTACGTTTTCTCCTCTTTTTATTCAAATATATCCGCTAAACTTTTGTATTGGGAGATAGTTCCATTTGCAAATTTCATACTAATTATATCTGTGGTCAATTTGGTCAAAATCTGTCAGCATACGTTGGGAGACCTCCATTGTTAGTTACTATTGAATTCAGGGGCCCTCCATTAATTATGTAACGGAAAAATCGCGATTTTTTGAACCCACCTCACCCTTTAATACCTATATGTGTCACATATGCACGATATCATCAGAATCCTAAACCCTCATCCCCCTTTTCACGTTGCGTCAATTATGAACGGCCCCTTAGCAACGCATTCACTTTTAAATATTGAGGATGAGCGTACTCACTAGAACAGTTTATTTCGCAACGCAGCTAATTTTATCAAGTTCAAAAAGTTTGTGGTGAGGTGACCGGATTCGCAAAATACGACTTGGCAAATCTTGTAAATGTGTATAAACAGGTCTATAATCCAATTTTAATTTGGTTTCCAAGAATTATTTGCAATTTGTAATGCAGAGGATGAGTACACAAAATAGAAGCAATATTTACTAGATAAATAAATTTACGAAAAATATGCTATCCTTTTCGAGCAAAAGGTTCCAGATTTCCGTGATATGTGAAGTTTGAAGTGACTACGCTCATTGTTCAGTAGCTACAGCTAGTTCTAAAAGCTCGAAGACTTTGTCTGTCCGTCCGTCTGTCTGTCCGTCTGTCTATCTGTCCGTCTGTCTATCTGTCCGTCTGTCTATCTGTCCGTCTGTCTATCTGTCCGTCTGTCTATCTGTCCGTCTGTCTATCTGTCCGTCTGTCTATCTGTCCGTCTGTATATCTGTCCGTCTGTCTATCTGTCCGTCTGTCTATCTGTCCGTCTGTCTATCTGTCCGTCTGTCTGTCCGTCCGTCTATCTGTCCGCCTCTCTGTCTGCCTGTCTGTCATATTTTTAAGAATGTCACCTTTTTGATGTAGTGGCAACCCAAAAATCTCGAATACAAGGAGCCCGAACTCATCGGACTTATCGTCTTCTGCTTCCTGTACGGCTTGGCCGCGGGCTACTGGCTGATTCGGCCATGGAGCGAGGCTATAGCCAAACTCGCCTCGAAGGAGCCCTTGACCCCCGATGCGGCAGCATTTATCGCCCTCACCTTGTACTTTGTCATGATGCCACCCAGCATAATCATCCTGGTGACTTGGAGGAATATTTTGGCTGTGAGAAAACTTAAGGAGACCGCCATCCCGACGGCACAAGGTGAGGTTGAGTTGAATAAAAATGTGCAAAATTTACGTATTTATTTAAATCAGGGGATGACACAATTACAGATTTTCCGTCATGATATGTTATTGATTGAATGATTGATTACTGGGTTATTACGTCTCAAGGTATTGACAAAATTACATATGGACATGTCATAAATGTCCAATTTGTTAGGGATTTAAAATGTGCGAAAAGTAGGACCTAGACGAACCCAAAATTTCATAAATGTCTAATTTTTTAGACATTTAAAATGTGTGACACATAAGACTAATTCAAAATGTTATAAATCTCGAATTTGACAAATATTCAAAATGTATGACATATGACAAGTTTAAAATGTCATAAATGCCTAATTCGTGCGACAATTAAATATTGGACAAATTGGACAATTATGCGCGCAATTATTGCCTCAGTATATGCAAAACCTTTGTATTAATTTTACAAAACTGTTCTATTTACTCAAACTTAAGTCACTTTAAAACGTTAAAAACCTAGATTTTCAATCTGCCATAAATATTGTTGAAGGTCGGTCTTTTAAAATTTTTGCAGACAAGCGAGATGAACGAACCAGTTTGCCTGCCTGCCGTAGGTTCAATCCCGCCCTTCATTCTGACTGCATCCTCATCTTGGAAGAGGTTGTGGTCGGGTAAAAATCCGGGCAGGATCGGGTAAGTTGCGAAAAATTTGCATATTTTTGCAAGCTGTGAGCGACTATATACATAGCTATAGATATGATTTCAGAAATTTAAAAACCCATTTTCCAGAAAAAATGGATATAAAGTATTTTACTGTATCCTAAAAGTTTCAAGTCATTTAATGCGTCTTGTTATTGCGATACACGTTTCTCATTAAGCAAAGTACTCAGGACGGATTTTCTCGGCAAAATTTTTTTTCAAGAACCAGAATAAGAAACCTAAATACGAAACATTGATCGCAAATTGCGATTCGCAATTGATTTGAACTAGTCAGGCCCCGTTCAAGGTAATTTGGCGCTTGCAAATTTGCCTCTTGCACTAATTGAATTTGCACAACCCAGCACTTTTGAAGTAAACATAGATAAGGAAATATTTTTAAACTCTTAAAAACTTGAATACTTTTTTTTAGATTTCACTCTGGGCTGTTCCCTAGCTCGCGTATGCGTAAAACGGGGCCTGGTTGAAGTTACGCTTTATCGTGTAATTCAAGTAACCCCAGTGCGAAACCTTATACAAAGCCATGAACCTGTAATACCGAGTGAAAAATGCGTCCTGGGTACTACGCTTAACACGACAAATGGCAAAGCCTATGATGTGAACATTGAAAGAAGAGTACAATTTTGGAGGTTTTGTCAACCTTGTTAGGGTTCAGATGATCTGAAAATTACGATCAATAAATCACCTTACAGGTAAGGCTTAATTAATCGCAAGACTTATGTAGGTCAAACCATCGCCCTCCAAGGTCACTGAGGAAGGTTGATGGTTGACAAGTACTCACAAATTGTACTCGTCTTTTAATGTTCCTTCCATAACACGCGAAACAACCTACTTATGTAATTTCAGAGTAATTTCTCCTGCACATCTTGTAACGCGATGTTACAACGTCTGGAAAAAACGAAGACAGATTTGTCCAGTGAGGAAAGTAAGACGCAGTGGAAAACCAATGTAGACCAAGACCTCGTATAACTCTGCATTGTTAGAGCGAAATGTAAATGTGAATTTTGAAACGGTAGGCGACGCAAAATACATACGTGTTTAAATTTACTTCTGAAGTTATAGGTGTATGAGTTTATGTAGTTCAGAAAATTTGCTGCAGACTAATTTTTTCTGAAGTAAATATACATTGATGTAAAAGAATATTTAAGCATATTTGGATAATCTGAGACATATTGAACACGTTTTCCTTCTACTTAAACGTCAGTAACATAAATTACAAAGTTGCGTTGACAAAAACTGTAGCGTAAAAACTGTTGAGACCAGACTATAATTCTAGCCCGGGCTACCGCCTACAGTGTCGGACAGATGTCTACGTCCACATAGTCGCGTCAATTTCATTTTCAAATTGTCACTGAACTACTGAACCAATTTTCATCATTGATATATCAAATTCTCACAAATTTAACGTAATTTCATAGCACATTATTAGTTTTCCGCTAAAAAATTTATTTTAGGCCAGAGATGTATTTTAATTCAAAATGAAAACAATTGGATGGACAAAAGTCAACGTCCAGTCAGAGAAAACATACAAAAAAAACTGTAATTTATAAGGAATGTTATAACAATTAATTTTTAATATTCGTACCTTTTAAAAAATTACAATTTTTAAAAAGCACAAATTCTTGAAGGGAGACATATCTAACAATAAGTGCACATTTAAGTACATGTGAAATCCATTCTGCGACGCGAGTGGAAAAGTGTTCTTCTGCACTGTATTCGTATGCCGGCAAGTGGATTTATTGGTAATGATTTAGCACACAACTAGTCAAAGTTCGCTAGTAAAACTCTCGATATCATGAACGAAAAATTTGATACCGTGTCAATTTCGCAACGACTATAAACAGAAAACTTACCATAATAACTTAATATTTGGAAAACCAGAACCAATAGCATATACGGACGTAAATCACCTTTTGGCCGGATCCACGATTAATAAATAAATCGCAGGTTGAGCCGGTTGGAAGTGTAATAAAACAACATTCGAGAGGGCGCCAAAATCCGGCGGTTGATAATTTTAGCAACGTATCCTGTATTTCTGCGAATGAAGCACTTCCCACTATCAATGCCAAAAAACTTGTCGAATACTCGTGGAAAAAGGACTACGGAAATGATCCATTAGAGTACAATGCATCAAGAACAGTGATGAAAGACAAAATACACAACTATATCAATCCCAAGGTTGTTGATCGAATCGACACATCTAGTGAGGGCCGTCTCAGCATTAAACAGAGAGATTTTGTTGAATACGATAATTTGTTGGCAGAGTTGAGAAGCAAGCCGTGTGAGGCCAACAAAACGAAGAAGAAAAATAAAGAAATACATAAGTGTACATCAGTGACATTAGTCACTACAAGAAAGCAGGAGCAACTCAAGCTAACCTTCTCTCCGAATTATGTAAATGTAAGTATGCAAACTTACATTCATATTTAATTTTTACAAAATTTATGTATGTACAGAAATTTCCTTTTGCCTATCTTGAAAAAAAAACAATACTCACGTTATGCAATAATTTATTCAAATGTTTTTACTTTTGTCGTTTACAGATTTAATGCTATTCTTGCAGTGGTATTTAATTCACGACAATTTGATATTTGATTCCATGCAGTCTGCATTATAATTATTATGTGTCAGCAGTTACAATTGCTGTTATCAGTATCAACTATGGTATACGTCCCCGATTTACCATAATTATGTTGACACAGAGTAACCTCGTTTGTTTGATCTTTGATTAGCCCATGTCAGGTCACCGGCACAAGAAGGACATTAACGACTTCTGCTATAACACAGCATATTCCTGGTTGAAACAAAAATTTAATTCTTCAAACGTAGGGGATGAAACGGAGGCAATTCTGCAACGCATATACAGAGTACGAGAAAAGTAATTAACGTGTTATTTTAAAGCTCAGCAGTTCATTACAAAATATACTGAGATTTTAGAAACTTTGTTTCCATCTTACTATACTAACTATAACACATATGTGTATTACATGATACGGCAACTAAGAAGTAAAAGTGAAGCAAAAGTTGAAATTATTGTTAAACTAAATACTTGATACAATAATGCCCGATTTTTAAGCTTAGGGTAATTATTTTGTTTCGGTTGGCTGGTGGTAATTTACGCGATAGGGTTTCCATTAACCGCACCTTATTCTTTTGGAAATTAAAGACCAAACTTCCGTATCTCGAAATTAGCAGAATCGCATTGTGTGTTACAGATAGGGTAACTCGTAAAAGCAATACATACGTGATGCATTATTATTTGCATCACATTTCTCAAATAAATTGTCATAATCAATTCATATATGGGCTAATGCTTTTCTCAGCATCAACGTTAAGAATCATATATTTCCAGCAGTCTATAGATGTAATTCGTGTCACGATTCCGTTGGTGGCTTCAGTGTCATAAGTTGTAGAAAGTAGAATATGTCTTAGTTTCCCCAGTCCACGTTTTAGTTTAAGTATCCCGGACTGGAGGATTTCATCATCCTTCCAGAAAGTTCTGGAAGCTTCGTTCTGTCGTTGTTAGTTGGATCAGATTTTACGACGGAGTTTTAGTTTCGAGTTGGAGAGCCGGAGAGTAAAGATCACTGTAATTTCTTGGTCGTGTAAATAATTATAAAGTTAAATAAATCAGTTCTTTCAGTTATATAAAATGATTAAGGACACTGTTAGGCCATTTATTGAGTAGTTACACGTATATTAGCAGATTGATCTTCTTCGGTGCAAATAAATAATTAGAACTCAACTCCACCACAGTTAATTCGATAACCCACTAATCAAAGAATACAAGTGAGTGAGGTAATAACGGGTAGTTATTTCAAACTCAACATAAGTTACCATATCAAATGTCCCGCAGGTTTGTCTAACCCAACAAGTTAAAGAATAATTTTAGATTTTAGAACTTATCTTAAAACTTAGAAACCTCGAAATTTCAAGCGGCGTCAATACTTCTCTGTACACCACCCCCCCCCCCCCTCCCCACAGTAAGATTTTTAAAAATACACCTATCGGATTACATTCTACAAAAGTTTATATTCTGTTAACCAAAATCATTAGATATTAAACATGTAAATTTCAAATTTATAAGATACCTTCTGGAAATTGGATTAGGTCACCATACCAATGACTATTTTCAATTTTCTTTACCCTGAATTATTTCTCGACCCCCACCAGTGCTAATATTTTTTGGCAATTACAAGTTGGGTGCCATGTGGATGAATTCTACTCAACGAATTGTCTCTTACATAAGTAGGGGATAATGTCTAGAAATTGACTCCCAAACTAATTCACTAGCCCTTAGCCTTACGGCCAAAGCTATCGATATAATATAGAACATTCTCATTCGTCTATTGGGGAATTATTAAACCATCCGTGTCAGCAGTTACCATTGCTGTTATCCGTATCAAGTATGCTCAGGTATGCTTAACCCAAGAAGTCTAAGTAGTTTACCGTATTTGAATATAAATCAATTGCATATCATTAGAAAAATTTGCATGTGACCAAGGTATATCCTCGGATAAAATCCTTAGGGGTGACACACTAGGGCAATCTACCCAGCTGAGAAGTAAACCGAACCTGATGCGACCCATTGAGATCAGGTATGCTAAATTCCACAAGAAAGGTCCTAGTTACGTACTAAAAGTAGAAGATTGAAAATTAATTAGTGATTGATACGTTTTTACGACAGATCATGTGCCGACGAACGAGGTCAGTACTGCCTAATCCGATCTTTCGAACACTGTTGAGTAGGTGGGTTACTTACAATTAACCCAAAACAATTAACGATGGATGGAAGTATACCCGCCCAGCTATTTTTTTCTTCCAATCAAAAATGATAATTTTCGCAACTTCACAGTTTACAATTAACCACCTCTTTACGATTTGCTCAACTAATTTTAATCCCAAAATGTTTTATTTCTAATTTATTACGACCTTTATCAACTTGTTTATGCTCCACTGTCATTGTCCACCATATTTTGATGCTAGGATTTTTTGGTTGAAATTTTTAGGAAATTATAAGTGCTGAAGATACTTCAGTCATTAGATAATGCCCGCTAATCGCGAGAAGGGTTAAAGCTATAAAATTTAAATTCTTTTCTAGGATGGGCTAACTTACGTGTACATACATGCTACATTGTGCATTATCCGTCAATTTAAGGGTAAGTCGGCAAAAATTTAATCGAAGAACGTAATGTTTATTGCTAGTGATTGGATTAAAAGTCAACCTAGGGAAACTAAAAAATAACGTGTAGATAATAAGATTAATGATGCTTTTATTAATTCCGCAAAATTCTCCAACGACAAATTTTCGTAAGGGCCAGTCAACAAATTTCTATTCAAATCGGATATTGGTTTTCCCCTCAGTAAAATTTATTGATTTTATTTTTTGTTATAACTGCCCTCCGATACTCTTTAATACTTAATAATAAGTTGTTTCAAAATGGATCCTAATGTTTATTCGCGGCAAGTGGCTCCAATAACATGAGAATCTGCGAAATTAGAACCACTGGTTTATGAGTTGTCCCCGATTCATCTGAAGGCCGAACCACGAATTAGGTACACAATCCTATTTTAGCTCCACCTCAAAAAACCCACCCTAGGAAACAAACAACAATACGGGAAGTACTAAACGATATCGAACTTTTCATATTGGCATTTGCTGATGACATGACTGTCATGGTACCGATCATGAACGCACTCGAGTCATACGTTGATATATAAAAAAAGTATAATAAAAGATAATAAAAGAATATTTTGACTGGCTCTGCAGGTAGATATTGTTGTAATACAGTACAATATAGCAGAATAGTTAATTGGAGCATTTAATACGTTAATAAATTAATTTTAATTACAGGCTAGTTTCAACGTGTTTGCAAAAGATTTTGGTCTCAGTTATGCTGACAAAACGTTGAATAATTTTAAAAATTGATTTGGGCCTATCTATAAAATGACAGAAAAAGCGTGTAAAACTTAAAACTCGTGAATTGTTTACATACAGGCAAGAATAAATGTTAAAGCGAACTTTAATCATTGTTAGAAATTTAAACGATTCTGTACGGAATCGTATATTTTAGCATGTATAATGAAATTCTATTAGGCGTATGACGTCGACTTCAGATCAGCCCTGTAAAACACTCTCTACCAAAACTCCACCAGCT